AACACGACCAACGGACGGAAAGCATCTATATTCCGAAACCTGATGAAAAAGTTCAACCCCAGTAACTATTAATGATCCATTAGGCTTTTGTGTCTCAAAATTAATGTTTCTGTCAGGTTCAGCAAATCGGTTAATTGCGTAAAAATTGAACAAGCTTTTTGTTTCAGCTTCTCATCAGAGCAATGCATTTAATTTTATTTCCAGGGCAATGCATGTGAGAAGATACTAACCCTGTCTGTCCGTTGACGAACTCTATTTACTGTTGATTGTTACCGCTTATTCTCACAGCAACTGGAATGTTTGTTGTTATTTTTAGTTAAATAAAATTGATATATACATGGTTTGTTTTAATAAGTGTCCGATACTTTACAGGGCGATTCTTCAGGYATTTTAAAGGTAAAAAGTCAACCTAGGCCAAGGGCGGATCCAGGGRGGCGTCATGACCCCCCCTTTGYGCTGGGTTTAKAACKGCTGACGATAATTTTTCTAATTTCATAGACAACAAAATACTGAATTTCTACTACTTGACTCGAAAGCTGGATCCGCCCCTGACRTAGGCATGGGGCCGCAAAGCCTTACTTATGCAGCTACAGGGMCTTMAAAAATTATTCAAATTTTYGTTTTTTTCTAATTGTTTATAGAACATCAATATTTGGACGAAACGTGGTTTTGCAACATGATAAATTTGAATTTGTTCTTGCAGGTGCGCTACGTACGTCTTTCTCTATTCAGAACACAGAACTTTTTCGTGCATGGTTGTATCCAAATTTTTAGCTCGAAAATGGATTTCTCYATMATTTTTACGTAAAGAAGGTATTCTTATCAAAAATCGCTACGAACAACCGTTTAGASATACAGYAAAGTCCSMTTATAGTGAACTTTCGGTTAAAACGAACKTTTCTCCTTTAATTGAAACGTCATCCATAAAAGCCAMTGTATTTTTTWCTGGTTATAACGATCACTTTTTGGGTTAGTTGAATATTCACTTTYCGTTTATAACGAAYTTCCACGCTTAACACCAGCTCAATAAACTCAGATGAAGATGTGCAYAATTTTGTCGAAGAGCAAGTTAAAACCAAACTGAGTTTTTTTCGTTCGAAKTTCTTCGAATATGTGAGCATTCATAATGRCATTCTTACAAGAGAAATGTTGACCGATGAGCAAATTATAGACTCCGTTACSTCATCMACAGCTTTAAGCGATAATGAGGAAGATGACGATTTAGGTGAAACTGATTCTAGTGTAGACACTAAYGCTGTTCCAACCATTTCTGAAATGACAAAAAAAGTGTCCGAAACTGGGAATTTTCTACAATCACGCCAAGKTCCTAATCATATCTRGGAGTCATTTTGTGATCTTGAAARYTACATAAATAACATCTATTTTTGCAGTAGAAATGTACAAACAAAAATTGCAGACTTTATGAAGTAGATTTCAAATTGTGTTCTGTTGATCTTTTTAGTTATACCTACTAACTTCTACTACTTTATGTAAAAATAACGAAATAAAATACACCACGTGTTTTTTATTATTATTCGCTTATAGCGAACTCCGGATATAACGAACCAGTTTTAGTTCATTTCAAGTTCGTTATATCCGGACTCAACTGTATTTTGATTGAAAGTAATCGACGTATGGGTTTTTCAAAAATGAAACCCACCAATTTCCCATAAGATATCAAAGTAGGTCATGAAATTACGCAATTCGAGAAATTTCGCGCATTTGCCTAATTATATTTTGTTTGAAATTTTCTTTTCCTGGGTCACATTTCGTAGGTCAATTCCGGTAAATTTTAGGTATTAGTTAATTACTCATATCGCTTCGTAATCCGTGAACTGTTTTATCGCAAAAATGCGCTGAGACATATTTCAACAATTGCTTACCTTAATCAATCCCGAATCGAAAGGATGACCGAGTTTATGCTGTCTTTTAGGGATGGAAGGATTGAAGTGAACTCATTTTAACAATAAAAAACAGTTTTCAAAGTTTATTTGAAAACACTTAAATTATGCCTATTTTGTTGGCAACATCCAGAGCATCATAGTCTCTGGTCAACCTAACGTAGGCCTTCTTCTTTCCATCAGGCCTGATTAGTGTGTTGACTTTAGCAACATTCACGTCATACAGCTTCTTCACTGCCGCCCGAACATGATGTTTGTTCGACCGCGTATGGACCACAAACACTAAAGTGTTGTTGTCCTCAATTTTCTTCATGGCGGCTTCAGTGGTGAGAGGGAATTTGATGATATTAAAAGCATCCATGCGAGACCTGTTTAATGCAAAATTTGATTAAAACCTTCAAATTGCCAATGCGGTATTCATTCTTACCTTGTGGGCACACTCTTCCTCGGATACTTTGGGTTTCGAGGTGGCCTCAAAGTTTTGGGCCGGTGGAAGTGAACCGAAGTTCTAATCACCCTGGAATGACTTCCATGGGGGCCCTTGATCACCTGAATGGATAGAGAACAAAGATAATTGTGATTAATCCTAACAATTTAATTTAACCTTAATAAATACCTTCTTACGAACGATCAAAGCTTTTTGCACCACTTTTGTTGCTTTTTTGGCGACGCCCTTCTGTTGCTTTACGGGCACCTGCTTGGTGGGTTTTGCAACGACTTTCCCTTTGGGGACAGTCTTAGGCTTTGCAGCCTTTTTAGCAGCGGCCGCATTTCCTGCAGACTTGGCAGCACCTAAAATTGAAACATTATGCAGGTTTAATAATTCAATTAAATGGGGGTAACTAATATACTAACTCTTTGTGACTTTGGTCACTTTCTGCGCGGTTTTCGATGCAGCTGGGGCTTTGCCTGCAGCCTTGGCTGCGGCCTTTGCTGGTGCCTTTTTCGCTGCACCACCTGCAGCTTTAGCGGCAGCTTTTGGGGCAGCTGCGGGCGTCTTGGACGATCCGGCGGCGCCGGCTGCTGCCGGAGCACTAGCTGGTTTCTTCTTGTCTTCCTTTTTTGCAGCTTAAATATATAACTTAATTAAACCACACCGGTCAAAACTTTTTGAGTTAAGATTTAAACTAAGTAGGTTGAAAGTAATCTGGTGTAAATACCAAATCGACTTATTAACCATGTGGCAGCAAGTAGGGTTAGACGGCAGCGTTTTTTGGAACTTTGAGATTTTACTGATGCCTTGTGAATTATAGGATGTATTGACGTTGTTGTGCCGTGTGAACAGAGTTTTGCAATAAATAAATGATAAAATACCTGGTTTATCAGCCGATTTCTGCTTTGGTGGAGCCATTTTCACCAACAAACGCACGGAAAAGAATTCAAGAAATGATGTGCTTGACTTATGTCATTTGGCGGGCCGGAAACGGAAAAGACAAGCAGTGCCACCTAGGCGCGCCAATTTTTGAACGTGTCGTCTTTCTGGATTTTAGAATATCATGTTCTTTGCTTTGTTACACGTTTTATTCAAAAAAGTATCTATTCAAGTTGGGAACATCGTTTATAAACAATGTATAACAGATTCTGGAAAAATCGCGCGCCAGTAGCGAAATACAAACATAAACAAGTGTTCAGTTACGCTTGAAGAAATTTAGAAATACAAATATAGTGCGGGCTAAAATGGATGAAACTGTATTAGAAGAAAGAGTGATAAACAAGTTTCCAGCTCCGTATTGTCTGGAAAGTTCGCCGTGGTTGCAGCCGGACTTTAGCTACTTGACGAAGAAACAATGCGCTACTTTTCAGGATAGGCGAAAGATAACGGAAGAGTGGTTGAAAATCAGTAAAGTGATCATCCTCGGCGATGTTGCGGCGGGCAAAACCTGTCTAGTAAATAGGTAATTGTGATATCGTTACATTAAATTAAATGAAAATCATGTATAATTTGCCCATTCAGATGTTGCCGGAACTTTTTTGAAAGCACCTATAAGAGTACGATCGGTGTTGACTTTGAGGTGGAAAAGTTTTCCATTTTGAGCGTACCATTCGTCTTGCAAATGTGAGTATAATAGTTGTTGAAGAACAGTTGTAAAAAAACATCCATTTGGAGATCCGTGTTTACCACGCTGGAAAAAATAAGAATTTTGATCGATTTCTACAAAAATTTCCGCATCTGCACAGATAAAAGTGTTTATTTCTACAGATGGTAAAAGTTTCAATTTCTTACTGTATTTAGCTTGAAAGTTGCGAATTTTTTAGGAAAGGTCGCAGTTGTGCAACAACATCCATTCTGAAATCGCTTTGAAACAAGCTGGAAAATAAGCATCTATTAAGAAAAAACAAAAAATTATTCACACTTTTAGGCTGTAGGTACTTCGGAATTGATTAACTTTTGAATCAGACAATTTTTCCGAAACCCAATAAATATTTTTGCATTTTTAATGAAAAATTTAAAAAGTAACATGTTCCTTTTGGAACCGCATTTTTGGAACCTATTACCAAGCTAAAACTGGAACGTTGTAACCGTTATAGCAAAATAACCGTTTATTACACCTCTAGTGCTGACTAAAAAAAAACTAAATGATATCCAATTGGTTTTATGGTTGTAGAGCCGAGGATGGAACTTCTTCATTAATAGTTTTACCTAACAAACAGTTCTACGACAGAGTGATCGGAAAATAGTTTGCAATTGGTTTGAACGTGGTAGTAGTTTCGGTTTATCTTTGTCGTTACAAAGAAATCTAGCAGGTCTGGTATTTTTTTGTTTTTTATTTATTTTTTAAACATTTTTTGGCAGATATGTTTTACTGATTCTAGTTCTTCGCGCCTTTATGATAGCACCCGCTTTAGAGAATAATCTCTCGCATTTTGTTTTACAATAACAATAATGTCAGGGCATTTTGTAACATTAGTTTGCGAACCAGCCTGTATATTGTTTATTGTTCCATTTACATACATATATGAAACTGTTAGATAATTAATGAATTAATTATATATATATATATCTACATATATACATACGTATATCCATTGTGCAATTTCCAGAAAATGGTCATTAAATTATTGTTTTTCTGTGGATAAATACATACATATATGCAATATCTAAACTTTAAAATACACTTTTACTTTAAAAAAAATTTCATCTATTGAACGAAAAAATGACGATTTCAGATGGGACACAGCTGGACAGGAACGATTTAAAAGCATCGTTCAGTCATATTACCGAGGCGCAAATGGTGAGCAAATTAATATTTTTAGACAAACGCTACTAACTGCTAATAATTGGCTTTTAGTTATTCTGATTGTGTTTGATCTGAGCAATTTTCCCAGCTTATTCAACTGCAAAAAGTGGCTCGATGAAGCATTGGGCGCAAACAGTGGGTCGCAGCCCTTCGTTTTCCTGGTAGGAACCAAAAAAGACTTGGTGGTAAGGTTTTTGTGGGATTCTATTTGAAAAAAAAACGCCAACTTTACGGGTTTAGAGCAACGTTTGCTATAAGAATATCAGAGCGGATGCTGTGAAGCTGGCCAAGGAGCTGAACGCTGAGTACTGGGGGGTATCTTCAAAAAGCGGCAAAAACGTTAACAAGCTGTTTTGCCGAGTTGCAGCTCTTAGTTTCGACGAAATTATTTCTAAAGGATTTGAGAGCGATAAGCGCTGTATTGCCATTGGAGATAGATTGGGAGGTAGATGTATGTAAATAATTATTTGAAAAAGATCCCCAATAGAAAGTTTCTTGTTTTAGATGATCGATCCTTGACCAAGGAAAAAAAAGCCGGCAGAAAATGCTGTAAATGATAAAATTGTTTTATATCGTTACATTAAATTAGGAATATTGCAACTTTGGAATTTGACGCGTTTTATTGACCTTATAAATTGGCCATCATTTTTAGAGGTCTAGAAACATTTGTTGTATAGCAATAATACTGACACAAAACTATAGATTAAATGTTAAATTTTTGGAGAAGCTTTGCGACCATATTTCACATGCATTTTCCTTGAAAACAAATAAAAAAATTTCCAAATAAATAAACGTGAAAAAATTTTGAGAGTTAAAAAAAAGTATAATAGTATTATAATTGTTAAAATAACTTCTTCTAGTAACTTTTTGACTGAATTTTGAATTTATTAATTTATTATCATTATATACAATATATATTTATTCTGAATTAGACTTATTTCAAATGAACACTCTCTAGGTTTTTAGTTTGATATTTACCCATAGTAATTACAAGCAAAAATGTATGCGATTTATTTTTCCAATTTTTACTAGTTTGGATACAAGCACAAAACATTGAAAGGAAATTTGAATTTACTTTATAATATCCGCGATTACTGCGTAAGTTCCAAACTATTCCAAGAACATTCATAATACTCCAAATAACATCACATTAAAGGGCATTATAAAATTGTTGAAATTTTATTGGAACTAAAGCCGAGATCATGGAGACCATAAAGTGATGTTAATGTGATTTTTAGAGTTAGTTAGTGTGTTTTTTGATCATTAAAACTATATTTCATCTACAAGTAATGAGAAATCGATACTAGTTTCTCAAGCAGCCACTAGAATATGCGGCAAACATTCTCCAGACTGAAACACAGATAACAGAGTAACCTCTGTGATCTGTGCACTCAAACGACGACTTTCCAATTTATAACCTCAGATTTAAAAATCTGTTGTCAAATCTAACCCAATTTAAGTTATTTACACTGAAAAATGGTAAGTTAAAATTGAGCTTTCAAAAAATGCCTTTATCATTATAAATGAATACGTCTTTTAATTATTCTTAATTTGTGTTATTTGCATCTTTCAGGCTCGAAATGCAGAAAAGGCTATGTAAGTATACCAAAGAAGCTTTCCGGGATTCTCGGGAAATAAAGGACAAAAAGTCTTATTTCTACATTCAATTTTTCAGTTCCCTATAAGGGGGATCGTTACGGCTTCTCTATAGTTAGGTGAACAACCTTTTACGGTGGACTTGTTTGAGGTTTGCCGAATTCCAAGTGTTTGATTATTTCGACTTAAAGTACACTTGGAATGGTCATAAATTAAGCCAGAAAACACTCCCCAAAACCATTCAATTATACAGGAAAATGAAATTGTCTGCAGCTATTTGCTATTAATCATTAGGCGGGCGTTAATTTTTTGTCCTTCGGGGACTTTCTCTCCGGGTTAAAATCGCTTCTACAAGCTGTTCACGAAAATTAACTGGACTTTTAAAAATCGATTTATCAGGTGCCTCAAGTTCCCCATTGACCTTATAAGGTAAAACGGTCTAAATCTCGGACTTTCATTAATGAAGCTATTTAACGAATATATTTTCAATTCTCTATATTATTTTATAACTTAACATGATTTTGTTTGGTACTTAGTGTTATCAAAATTCTTACTTAGAGATAGGTATTTTTCTGGCTACTGGTGTTGCCGAACAACTGTTTCACTGAACATATTTCCTTTATAATTATAAGTTTAATTAAACCTTTTCGGGTTTAGTTTCACTGGTTTTAGTCTTGGATTAGTTTAGTTGGAATTCAATTTTCTTTTCTATAAAACTTTATCGCAGTTTCCTTAAAAAATCAAAAATTTGAATTAAAGATGAACGATGAACCTAAACCGACTCTAATTCAAGTCGGCCTAAAACCCCAAAACTCACCAGTTCCTAACGAAGTCGGGGACGTCTAGCTCTTTTGATACAGTTGATTCCTAAGAAAATGCCAACCTTAAATTCCTTCCAGGACAACCCTGGCTAGATGGAGGGCAGCACAGGCCAGCGAGACCGAAAAAGTGAAGAAAAGGAGGCCATATTTGGCGTCAGAATGCAAAAGTCTGTATGCCTGTGAAAAGTGGAGGATGCAGATAATACGCGAAGTGGCAAAAAAGGTTGCTCAAATTCAAAATGCCGGTTTAGGTGAGTTCAGAATCAGAGATCTGAACGATGAAATCAACAAGCTGCTCAGAGAGAAGCGACACTGGGAGGATCAAATAAAGGAATTGGGAGGCCCAGATTATCAAAAAGTTGGACCCCGTATGCTGGACCACGAGGGTAAAGAGGTTCCAGGAAATAGGGGATATAAATATTTTGGAGCCGCTAAAGAGTTGCCCGGGGTTAGGGAGCTATTTGAACAAGAACCGCCTCCACCTCCAAGAAAGACGCGGGCCGAATTGATGAAGGATATTGATGCAGACTATTACGGCTACATGGATGATGATGATGGCATTTTAGTGCCTCTGGAATTGCAAGCTGAGAAAAAAGGTTGGGCAGTTTTGGCACTTAGAAACTTCCTTACCAGGTTTAACTTTCGTTGCTTCCAGCCATAAAGAAAGCTGTAGCGCAATGGAAAACTAAAAAAGAGGCCAGAATGGAAACCGATGCTTCGTCAGAGGAAGAAGAGGAGGAAGTAAACATTTACGCCAGCAAAGAGGTAACTTACTCTTTAACTTGTAAAAATACATCGCATATCTTGACACAATTTCTTATTTATTTCAGACTGATGAAACCCCACAAACTATGAGCCAATTAGTCGATGGATCACAGCAACGATTCGTAGCCCATGTGCCTGTTCCCTCGCAACAGGACATCGAACAAGCGCTTCTCCGAAGACGCAAGCAAGAACTGTTGAATAAGTATGGAATAGCAGAGGAGCAGTGAATTAAAGAGTTTATGTTGTCACATCAATTGATTTATTTTGAAAAATTACATCTTAAGGTAAAGTATTATCGGGTTTCATTATTCCCCGGCAAATTAGGGCAAATTCTAGAACTGAATCACAAAGCTTCCTTTTGTTGGCCTTTTCCCTAGAAATAAAATACAGTTTAAGATATCTGCACGATTCCCAGCCTCTACAAGAGGTGTTCAACAAGTCGAGGAGACTAGAGTCGAAAACGATGTTATTTTTAGTATTTTTCCATCGACTACTGCTTTTGGAATTCAATTTACTATCTCGCAATCGGAATAAAGAAGAATGTTTAGCAGTTGTTGATTATAACAGAAACACTTATAAATAATACGTTTTGCTAATTTAGGAATGCTTTGAAACCTCTTTATTCCACTTAGCGAAAATTGGGATGCCGATCCTATTTGAATGAACATATTTTGGAATTAAGGACCTAACATTAAATTAAAGTCAGCCAAATCTCGATTGATTCAGGTCGGTCTAGATCAAAGCTGGTTTTTTAATAAAAAAAATAGAAAAAATTTACGGGATTCTAATACCAACACCCTGTATATTGCATTTCAACTGAATCAAATTACAAAATAATATTGCATTCGTACGTATAGTGCGGTATTCAAAGTAACGGAGAGTTTTCTTATTATTAGATTATATCACGGTTACGAATACTCTGGCGTAACGACAATCAACCCCTCTAGCTTATACATACCTTAACACTAATTTAATAAAAATCTCCTTCTGTTGAGCCGTTATTCTCGGAGTTGGGAAGTTTTCCTGCACCAACAGCGTATTTAGCCATCTACTCAGACTATCACAGTATTTTTTATTTAATACTAAAATTATATCACTAAGGTGATCTATCGAAGATCGAGGGGCAGTACTTCCTAAAAACATTTGGATCATAAAGAACGAATACCCTGCACCTGACAGATGAAATTACCTAGATTCAAAAGAATCCTTAACACTAAGCTTTCTCCATACGCTTGCACTACAATCACTTGAGACACGTCCCTACTTTGGGTAATAAAATGTACTAAAAAACTTGAGATTGCTTTTAGAGTCTGAACCTCTGGTAACACCAAACATAGAATTGCTGAAATGTGCATTAATTAAAACTGAGTGGTTTCATTCCTGATTCACATACCACATTCGAATAAAGCAGCCGTATCCATTTCATTATTGAATATTAAATGGGGAACTTTCTTAATAATATTGAATAGCAGTGAGAAGAAGCCTTCTAACAAATCAGCTATTTCAGATAGTTGATTCTGATTGTTTTTTTCAAAGCATATCAATAAAGTCTGGTTGCAGATTTCTTGAATCAGTTGTTGGCTGAGGTGGCATAAATCAGGTTCCTTTCCAAATAAAATAACAACCTGCAAATGTGCGATCAGCTAATCGATTCCTTGAGAAATGCTAGTTAATACCAACTTACGGTTTTTGCAACGACTAGTATGTGAGCTTGTGGTTTGGCTCTGTAAATTGTGACTACAATCTGAAGTATATCCTTAATTAATGGTTTGCAATGGTCTTTTAATGTTGTCACCACGTACTTAAGCAATGTGCTTAGATCCTGAAACAAAACTCAGCCTGATAACAGACATTTACCGAAAAATGAGCTTGGATTCTTACCAGAATGACTTCAGAGTTATCAGAGTACATTTCAGCGATTTTCTTGTAATATGACATGGTATTTTTCATTATCAGGAAAATCGGTTGCTGCTCTAAACGGTCTTCGGATTGAACATAAAGACTATTAAACAATGCAGCCAAAATCTTCAGTCTCGTTGCCAGCGATGTCGCCATACTGGATGACTGCAACAGGACTTAAATAAAACCGATCAGTGCGAATAATTCTAACATTGCTTACCGGTGGTTGAAGTATTAATTTCTGAATATCTTCAAACGTCGGGGCTAAAGTTACGTTGAGATAGTCCATTACCCTGTCGACGGGCATTATACTTAGCACTCTACCAATACTGTACATAAGTCTTTTACAGTCTCCTAACTTAAATGATCCATTTTGAATTACGATCTGCAAATAAGCAAGAATAGTTTTTCATTCATGGTTCATGAGAATAGATACCAAATAATTTCTGTTGCTGCAGAAAAAGATTCGTATTTCTTATGAAGTGCAATAAGTTTAAAGCAAAAGGTTCTATTCCAGGGAATCACAGCAAGCAATAACGTAAATAAGAAAATCAACCCCTAGACTGTATACAGTGATTACATAATTGCTTCCTGACGCTTCGCAAGAACGAGTGGCTTACATGTTCAGAGTTTGTTTCCTATTTTGAAGTTATTAAAATTATAAATTTAAATCAATTTAATATTAAAAAAAAACAAACTTGGTATAATAACGTGACTTTACAACACCACTTTCAAAGAAAACAGCTCAATAGCCCTTTCTGGGTACTTTTAGCGGTCTTGGGGTGAAACCGAAAGCACTTAAACTGAAATTATTCACTATTTCTACACTAATTAATGTAAATTTACCTCGTTGAAATTAATAAAAATACTTCCATATCTATAGCGACATTGAATATTGATCCAACAAGTTTGGCCATGATTAAGAGAGGACTTGTAACTGATGTGAATTACATTGTAAGCGTAACCGACCGAAGTGAAAAGATAAAAACTACTTGTAACTATTGAATCCAGGTATTTACCAATGAAAACATTTATCATAGCAATTAAATGGATTTCTGCTCTTGCATATAAAACGTCTCTGAAACCTTTTTTGAAAAAATTCACGAAAAATCTGCAAATCTCATTTGAAGTTCAGTTAAAATACTTTTTCTTAATATCGTTAATAAGCTGAGGCCGTTTTATCTAAACTTGATTTATTCATATTGATTGTACGCCAGGTCATTCTTTAACTGTTTTTTCAAGAAACTACTTTACATTTGAATGCTTTAACTTTGTCGCACATTTCCGTAATCTTTTCACTGATGTCTGTTAATTTACAAACCAAGCTTGAGTATTGATTTTCGATTATTAAACTGAAATATATCGTCTTGTAAATCTCAGAGTTGCTTAAGTGCAACTTAAGACAATTTATTGAGATTAAGATTATTTAACTCACTTAAGAAATCAGATAATTGTCGAGGATTTACACCTCGGAGTCTTACAAAATTGAAAACTTTTTTAATGTACCGGGAGTTTCACTAAAGGTGGCTACCGATCATATTTTCGAAAGTACCGGACTTGCAATTGCATTTAAATCGCCGTAACTTCTACAAAGCTTCAAAAGCCTTTTCGATTTGAGTAATTTTACGCTTAGCTTGAAGAGAAATGTCGGTGCTTTTACTGTCGTGTCGAGTACAAACAGTTAGTTGTAAATAACATTTGCAGAAGGTGCAATTTGCAGCAATAATAGTTTTTCGTTTCCGTACGTAAGTTTAATTAGCATTATGGCATTATAATCGAAAATCAGATAACAATTTCTAGGTAAAACGCTAGATTCAGAGTCATTGCCAAAACAATACTCTAAATAGCATAATCTAGCAATATTGTTTAGAACTGTCGAGCATTTCTCTACACAACAAGAAAAAGTACTAACATTTCTCTTCCAAACAAGCCTAACATTACTACAAACGATTAAGTCGTTTAGAAGTTACAGCGATTTAAACGATGAAACTACTCTTATTAAGCTCGGTACCAAATTGACGGAAAATTGACCAAACTTTATAGGAATGTAAATCCACTAAAGGTATACCTTGATTTGAGAATATTCGGGGAAATTAGAGCTATTTGAAAATTTTCAATTGCGCCCCCTTGCATAATTTCCGAGATTTTCTCATCGTCACTTTAGAAACGGAAGCTTTTCATCCCTAAACTTTCATACCCAGTACTTTCCCAATCTGACCAAATCCTAATAAAACACCCGATACAATAACATGTTTTCCATGTTTATTTCATGCGTTCACGGTCCTTGATCTAAAATTCGTCCAACTCTATTTGTACAAGTCAACTTTTACAAGAGCAAATTGTCTTTTTGTACAATTTTATCAACACAGTCAAATAAATCTGGTCCTTTAATACTGGTTCCAAAAATGTGATGCTACGTCCAGACCTAACGAGCCGAGCCTGAGCCGAGCCAAAACATCGACAGAATATGGATTGTCTGTCGGTGTTTTGACGAAACATCAAAGGAATTTGCCGCGCCTCAGGCTTGGCTCGTTAGGTCTGGACGCACCATTAAAATCCGTATTGCTAGCACGAAGAAACCCAGCTAACTAAGCTTCGCATTTCGTCACATACAACGGTAAATCTTTCGAAACTACGTGGCTTTGCTTTGATTTAATCACTTACGCCGGTATTACACTACGCACTTTTCTCGACTTATTGGGCCAGTTATTGTCATCATGGCGCTCACCGACTACCCTTGGATACTGTTCTTAGAATTAGTGCCATTTAAAAAGTATTTAATAAATTGTACAATTTATCGATCGCAGCCCGATTCCAAGCTTAATGCAGGGATTATACTACGCACTTTTCTCAGATTTATTCGCCAATAAAGTGGGCCAATTATTGAAGGTGATCTTCTTGGCCGTCATCGACTTTTCACTTGGATATTGTTCTCAAAACAAGTTGATGCAATTTCAGTAAAAAAACACTTTGAAGCAAAAAACCATAAACCCTAATTCCCAGTATCCTCAGATCGGAAATCGATACCAACATCGTCATTATACAGTTGGCAAACAACAAATATTTTAGAAAATTGTCACAATTTGCAATAATTTCCAAAATGCTGTTGCTTGTAGTGGTCAATAAATCTGGTAAAATTGCGTAGTGTAATACCGGCATTACGCTCATCCCTGATGATCTTCAATAATTTTTTCCCAATTTATTGGCTAATAAATCGGAGACAAATACATAGTCTAATGCCGGCATTAAACGTGTAGGTATACAAATCACTAAATCTGTCTGCAACTGCGTTTGCTCGACAAATAAGCCTTCTGCCATAAAATGTGAATGTAATTCAAAAGTATAAATAAGTTAAATTACCATTGAATCCCGGACACAAAGTAGCTGTTATGGGTAATTTTATATACCGCTGAATCATATGCACACATTTCATTGCAAAAGACTTGTTTGATTGAATTTTATCTAGTGTGTCGACTGCCATTTCCTCATCAAAAGTATTTCTGCTGTTTCAATTAAATATGCCTTGATGAAATCCACTTTGGTATGAGGTTTGTTCATAAGACATGAATTGTTGTTTGTTCAATCATAAAAACTCCCTGAAAGCTCATATTAGCACGCGGGTCTCAAATATGTGCTTCCTTGATCTACTGTTTCCGGTATTCCCATACGGCACACAGTATATATATTTTTTAAATCTTAAACGGAATGGACTTTTTCCGGAAAAATTCCCACTGTATAATATTGAACGTGTTCTTCTAACTTGCAGATCAGTATACCTGCCGGTAATCACCTGAACATGGTCCAACCAACTGGTATCAGCACGAGACATTAAAATACGTCACTTTAAACAATTTAGTTAGCTCCGCCTCAAATTCAATCATATAATGTCGCCAGCGAAGACCGCCCGCGTATCGGTGTACGCGGCCAAAAAAGGAGTCAAGTCCAGCACGGACACAAACGATGAGCTGGAGGAATGGAGACGTGGGAAACAACTGCTTAAACCGAAGAGTCAACTGGACCTATCCGATGCCGAGCTCAAAGAAACAATCGGCAAGCAATTGTCAACGCTCAACCCGCAACTACCTGATAGTATCGTCGAATTCAACTATGCGGCCGGTGGGTTTATTTCGTTGCCTCTGCCGGGTAACACAGTGGTGGTATACGAGCTGCAAGGCACGTCCATGCATAAGGACTCGGAAGAGGCTCGCGATCAAATGGTTGAGCTCGGAATCGACCCTTCCACCTTCGAGGAATCATCCGAATCCTCATTGGATACTGAACCCAAGGCTGAGGCGATTGAAGTCAAGCCAGAGGAAGAAGGCGAAGAAGCTACTGAGGCCAAAGAGGAGGAGCCTGAAGACGAGCAGGCCAAGCCCGACAAAGCAGACGAGGAGCCTGAAGCCGAAGGCGACGGTGAGGGTGAGGTTGAGGTCAAAGTGGAGCCAGCGAAGCCTCCACAAAAGGGCGGCCGGCCCAGGAAACTGACCAACCAATTCAATTTCTGCGAAAGAGCAGCTTTGACCTTCAACAATCCGACTAGGTCGCAGGAGACGCAGACGGTTCCCCCGCCTATGGCGACTTTTTCAGCAAACGTGCTCCAGTGGGTGATTTACGACGCTTACCAGAAGGACTTTGAAGCGCAACAGCTGGAAAAGGAGCTGGAAAGAGAGCGCAAGGAACGAGACAAAGCGCCAGTGTCGCGCCACCAGGCATCCAAAAAGGGCCAGGGAAGAGCGCAACTGAGCGAAGCCGTGCAGGGAAGAGTGCTGGATTGCTGGAAGGTCCTGGAAAGGATGATCAACCAAAACACCTACGACGATATAGCAAAGGACTACCGATACTGGGACGACCCTTCGGATGAATTCCGGGACGAGGAGGGCACCCTGTTGCCCTTGTGGAAGTTCACATACGACCGGACTAAAAAGAACACCATCACCGATTTGGAGTGGAACCCCTACTACTACGACTTGTTCCAGGTTTGCTTCGGATTCTTCGAATTCCTCAAACCTACAGCCGAGGGCGCTGTTTGCATGTTCACCTTGAAGAACCCCTCATTCCCCGACTACATCTGCATGACTGAGTCTGGAGTGATGTGCGTGGACACCCATCCAAGATATCCCTACATGGTTGTAATTGGCCTCTATGATGGAAACGTGGAAGTTTTCAATGTGCAAGCTACTTGCAAAACATCGGCTTACAAGAGCAACAGTGTCACCAACAAGCACAAAGGAATTGTTTGGGAGGTGAAATGGGCGCCTGACTTGCCAGACGGGGAGCTCAACTTTTATTCAGTGTCCACAGACGGAAACATCAACAACTGGGTGTTGATGCAAAACGAGCTGGCTGTTACCACTATTTTAACGTTGTTTTTCGCCAAAGAGTCAGTGCCGGGCCCGGATGGCACGCATTTGAAGCCGAAAAGCTGCGCGTCCTGCATAAAACTGCATCCGAAGAAGCCGTTAATTTATCTGGTTGGCACTGAGGAGGGTCAGATTTTCAAGTGCAGCACTGCCTACAGCTCAATGTGCTTATTCACCTATAACGCGCACTTGCTTCCAATCGCCAGGATAGACTTTAACAAGTACAACACGGACATTTTTATCTCTTGCAGCAGCGACTGGCGCATAAAAATTTGGGAAGACAACCGACTGGAACCACTTTTCGTTTTCGATCTAGGCGACCGGGTGGGTGACGTGAAATGGGCCCCATATTCGTCAACGGTGTTCGCTGCAGTTACCAGTGAAGGCAAAGTATACGTTTTCGACTTGAACGTCAACAAGTACAAACCCATCTGCATTCAAGCAGTGGTTTCGCGCCGCCGAAACAGGCTTACCAGACTATCCTTCAATCCGAAACTTCCAATTATTATAGTGGGAGACGACAAAGGATGCGTTACCACATTGAAACTGTCCCCGAACCTCCGAATTCCATGCAAGGCCCCAAAGAAGCAACAGTATCTGGATCAATGGACCTTACAGTGCATGAAACTGGACAAGCTGCTGTCGCTGGTTCGAGAGCCAGTTACTTTAACATTTCCGCAGGACTTAGCAGGCACTGACGTGTCTTAAGAAATCGGTGCGTTTGCTCTGGGTTGAAAACCTCGAGCCAGAGGGTGAACACGACTAGGTCTGACCATTTTAAGGTTTAAATTCTTAACTATGTATGGAGATTCAGAAACCAGCAATTGCTGACTTTTAGCAAGTATAAATATTGTATATCTTATTTATTACAACCTATAAAATTAAATGTACCCGATTTCGATGGATTCTCAGTTTGTGATTGATATAACTGTTCCTTAAATGTGGTGGAGAAAAAGTGCGTAGTTTTACCATTGTAGGTAGAATTCAGTACTTAATACGTGTACAAAATCTCCAACCACATTCCTTCTCTCAATAAACCTTTTTTTTCCAAATTATCAGACGAACTGCAAATTGTAAGAGAAGAGACAATGGCCATTCAGGAGGCAATTAAAATTTTAAATTCGCGAGTATAATGAAGCGTGGACGGCGGGAACATAAGGCGACGAAACGCAAATCTTTTCGAGATATCTTCTGTGACGGGCGTAGCGCACGTGAGCAAATGAAGCTCCGGCTGATTCCAAACTTTTGAGACGTTCTTAATTAAAAATTTTAACTTTTCGTCGTTAGTGTGCCAATTTTTTTTGCCAGACCAGATAAGGCACACCAGACTTAACTACCGGCAAAGTGCCTGATTTTGTTATCAAAGGGAATATATACGAGAACAAGGACATCTCCAACCCAGAAACTTTCAAAGATCTTTTTTTTGCAAAAAGTAAAAAGGCCCGGACCTAAGAAGTCGCTCTCGCCAAATGTTTTACTTCCCAGGAAGAACGGGACTTGTAGACAAGAATTGAAAAAGAGCTGGGCTTAGGATTTCCCCCGGCCGATCTATTTTTTGACAAGAACTCTTAGCCATGACTGAACCAACCGACCCTCAGTTAAGGGGCCTTGCTCAATATTCAAAGCTCGGCCACCCAACTATTGGGCAGAACACCTTACCAGGTGATGCACCAGTACTTTTGTGGACTTGGGCCACCCAGCTAAAGACATCGATGAACAATTTAAAGACGAAATGACGGAGACGGGCTCCGCCGCTTTTTCGATAACCAGTGAGTGCTTGGGATTTAAAGAGACCACGCGGCGCGTTAAAACTTATAAAATTTTGCGACGAAAGAGTACGATTTTTTATGACAACCTGCCTGCCTCTAATGGGCTCTAACAAACAAGAAAAAAGTGGTCAAACGTGTGGAAAAAAACCTGACGCCGATCTCTTCCACTTTCACCTTGCGTTTCACCTTCTTCCAACTTGAGTTGTAGATACTATTTTATATTTAATTAAAAATTCTGAGATGCCTTTTCCCTTCCAATTGCAGTATGAAACATACTTTTCATTATTTCCATAGTACAACATATTAATAAGTTTATAACTGTGGTAAGTAAACGATTTAAAATCGGAACTTCTGCTGTTTATGAAATGACTGGACATTTTTTCCTGTACTCTTCAAATATGCATGAAACATAAAACACTCTTGTTTTTTTGTACTTCGTCCTGTTTTCTCTAATCCATAATAATGATACCAGAAACATTTCGTTGTGATATTTGAGATTCCATTATTAAAACAATAATAAATTCAGCGTAAAAAGTAAGATGTAAACAGTGAATTAGCGGTTAAAGATCGTCGTTTATACGATATCGGTATAAATGTCCCATGACGTTAAGCAACATTAATAAATATTTTCCTTACCTGAGCGGCCATCAAAATATGATCAACATACGGGAGCAAGAACTTTTGGCAGCTATATGTAAGGTCTTTTAAAGCCAACGTTGCATTAATAGTAACTTCTGAATTTCCTAACGCTGATATTACCAAGGGCAGCACGTTACCCAGAAGATCTGGATGATCAGTAAGCCATTCTGAGTATGCACCTGGATGAAAAAACACATCATTTAACTTTTGTCCTCATGAAGAGCTATCACGCTGCACAGAGCAGAAAAACATGTGGAACTATACACATTTTAACTGTTGGTTTCTCTTTTAAAACTAGCGACTTACCAACAGTATCCAAGGCAGTATTCAAAACTTTAACATGCAAATCGTTAAATGGGATATCTTTGATGGTCATCATTAACTTTGGTAAATATAGGTTTTCCATCTCAATGCTCTCGGCAATTGCGCAAAAAGCGTGCAGGCACGTTTCGATTTCATTCCATTTCACTTGGCCGAATGCATTTCCATTCTCTTTGTTGAGAACCTCATTCAGTTTCGTCGTTAAAATGTCCAACATTTCCAAGTTCAGAGCGTTATAGCAATACATGTATGTGTCGGAAACGTCCTGCCGATAGCAGCGAAAAACTTCCTTATCGTCCAACGTCCAACTTGTATCATCCAATAGCGGAAACATGGATTTTCTTAAGAGAATACACACCAAGTCCCGGTAGTACGGCTTGGCCATTAGCAATAATTGGGCGCACTCCGACGTGCCACGAGCTAAAATTTCCTCCTGAAAATATCCAAATAGTAGAAATTGAATTGGTGGATTTTTAAACCTTACTTGTAGGGTATACCAAAATGCGAATGTCAATGTGCTGCTCGTTTCATCCACGGGATACAACCCAGGCAAATTTGTACATTTCAATATAGAGTTGAATAAATCGAAGCTAATTTGCTGCTCCTCCTGATTGGCTGATTTCAAATTATCTATAAATACTTTGGTGTGGGAGTCACCGATGACGGCAATCAACCCATACAGATTCGATATAATGTCCTGCAAATTGAAATCATAGAATCATTCCAGACTTTTATTGAAAAAGTACCTTATTTAAATCATTGCACCTCATTTCAGCTTCAAAAATCTTCTCAAATTTGTACATTACATTGGCTGCAAACTTGGTGAGATGGTGCTCATATTTGGCTGTATTGGGATGTTGCGCTATAGCAGTTAGCGCTTCTAGGGCAACTTCGGATAATTCCATTTCTTCTGCCGATAAACATTCTGGGTCAATTTTGTTCCTGGAAATTCACTTTGAATGACGCAAACTGATAAAACATGATCTCTATATTAAGAAGCTGTTCTGTTAAATGGTTCACAAAGTTCTACTTTTATTTTACAGAGTGGGCAAATTGGTCGTGTTCATGGGTTATTTCGGAAGCGCTTACAGTTTTTGAGGAGATACTTTTATCATGTTAAGGCAAAATTAAATAGCGACATTTTTCTTTTCTCAAAAATCGACCTCATAACACCCATAACGCTTTCTTGGTATCTGCTGCGATTTCCGAAATAACCCATAAAACGACCAATTGTGTCTACATTGTACTTTAAGGTACTGGGGAACAAAAAACTGTTTTTTTATCCAAAAACTTGATGGCACAAAACTATTAACGGCATACATTTTAAGACCTGCAGGGACGTTCGCCAGGAATGCACTCTCTGTTCAGATCTATTTAGCATCTAGGGAGAATATATAATGTGAAAAGCACTGGATGGAAGAGTCTTTACTGCGAGAAAACAGATTATAAACGCGAGATATGTAGACGATACATAGTTGAGAGCAGCATCAGAAGCGAAAATGTCGGACTTTCTAAACAAACAATTGAGTTGGGGTACGGTGCAGTAAAAGCGACCTTAAGAATGCGACCGTGCAGAGAAAATAACTTATTTGAGCTTGAATCAATCACTGATTATATCTCTAGATTTTTCGATGTGGAAAACATAGTTTGAGTTACTTCATCAAACAATAGCGATTTAAATCAATCTTACCAATATACATAACAGGTGAGATCAATCAGCAAATTACAAATGGATTCGCACTCTGGTAGATTAAGTCCACCCAGATGCATCCAACTGCACGCACATCTAGCCGCCGTTAAATAGGTCGTTAGGTTCATCATGTCAAAGCTGAAAAAAAAACAGGAATAATTTAAGAAACATACGGTTGATAACACGATACTAAGTATTCGAAACGCGTTTGTATATACCCACATACATTCTTCTACTTCAGGTATATTTAGTTGATGAGTTCAAACACAACTTTCATTTCGGAGAAGGCAATGAATATGAACAATCCTGTAGTATAAGGTAGTTTAATGTTCAAAATGACCCTTTAGAAAGCAAAGATAACTGCGTTTTCATTATTTTTAGTTTCGCTATCCAATAATGAGCAAGACGAGCGACAAGGTGAAACTGGTTTTGAATATTTTAATATATTTTTTAATATTTTTAATATTTAATAATTGTTATTTTAATATATTTTTTTGTGGGACAGAAAACGTTTAAATACGGATGGTATACCACAAGTAGGTGTGGCCTCCAGCCATTAGAAAAAGATCTCTATCAAGACAATAAAACCTAGCAGTTTAAATGTAATGGTGCGCTCAGACCTGAGGAGCCGAGCCTGAGCCGCGGCAAATTTCTATCGTCTGCCGGTGTTTAAACAAAACATAAAAGGAATTTGCCGCGGCTCACGCTGGGCTCGTCAGGTCTGAACAAACCATGAGAAACGTGTAAGTAAATATTACCCTTTATCTGGAATGGGCATGAGGCAGATTTCCAAAACCTTTAATATATCATTGGAAACTTTTTGCAGCTCAATTTTCACTTTATTGCGTCGGCCAATACACAAGGTCGTGGTTTGAAACTGCAACATAACATTTTTCATCAAATTAGTACTTAAACTCCCACGCAATGGAAGGTTTTACCTCTTCTGGGATAACAGTCAAGATTTCCAATAAAATCCATATTACCCTCTCTGATTCAATGGTAGGCAAATTGTGCGGTTGAAAACTGGACACCAATTCCTCAAAGGCATTTGGCCAATGTGTGGGAATGGTATGGATAATATATGCAGATAACTGCAAAGTAAGGAACGAAAATCAATACAAACACAACAAAAGACCATCCGAAACTTGATAAGTAACTTACAGTAATACAAAGACGATTCAGAATAATTTTGGGGCCCATAGCATAGCTGATAATGGCTTCAAACAGTCTTTTTTTAAGACTTTCATAGTGGCTTTCAGGCACTTCATGCCAATACTTCATTAGCTTTGCATGGAGAGTGGTGGCTCCATAAAACTGTACTTGAAAGTTCTGTAAAACAGTAAATGACAAAATATACTAACATAATAATCTTTAATGGGTTTTCAGCCCCTGACACCAGTTGATAATATAGAATAGATGGTCCTTAATTCTACTTAATATACAGGGTGTCCCGTAAACACGTGAACAAAAGACTACTGCAATATTATTTAGATCAAAAGAAGACGATATGCCCTAACTTTTACTAAGAAAAAATGTCTGGCTTCTCTGCTATAGAGTTCATTCGCTTTGGGCAAGTATTCCTGAATGTCTTGATACAAAAACTGCCAGAACTTTTTATATGGTTGCTGGAATCAACTGATTTTTTTTTTAGTTGATGCACTAATCTTCTCTTGATATTTTTGTCCTCTGTATAAGTTCTTGTAACATTCATAGTTTTTGAGAAGAAAAATTATGTACTGCCAATTTTAGACATTCATTAACTTTTTATATAAACAAAACTCAAATTAAGTTTTTTGTAATATCGGAAAATCACTCAGATGAACTAAAAACTAAAAGAAAATATTTTCTAGTTCTAGTAGTTTTTGCACCAAGAGCACTACACCAGAATTCCTCACTTGCCTAAAGTGTTACACAGAAACAAATTCACACCGACATTAATTAAAATCCATCGTATCATTCTCCCGATATTTCAAAAAACATATTTTTTGAAGAACATTTATCCTCAATAGCAGAGGAACCGGACCTTTTTTCTTAGCAAAAGTTAGGTCAAATGGTATTCATTTGAGCCAAATAATGTGTCAGTACCCTTCTGATCATGTGCTTACGGGACACCCTGTATGGAAAAATACATTTAAATTAAAATGAATTATTTAACAAAATATTAAAATTAAAATGCACCAGCAGACTAGAGCGGAGGAAATTGGTGGGCTTGTGAGGGACATGTGCATTATTATATTATTATTATATAGGCCAGTTGTGAGGGTTATTTTGCCATTTTGTTGGTTTCAAATTTACCCGTTGTGGGTCGAGAAGTTCCCAGACAAAAGACCAAGCCTGTGGGGAGTTTTGGGCCTTGTTTAACCATTCGTGAGCCTCTGCTTGCTGATTTGCTTCAGATCTATAGAATATCGCCACAGCTTCTTCTAAATTTTGCACAGTGAATGACATCGTTTGTTTGATAAATTTTCAATTTTCTATAAAGCTCAGAGCTTTGGCAATGTTAGAAACTGTTATTTTTAAAATTACACGAATAATCCATTATTTTCACTGCTTGGCCAGCTGCTTAGTGCTGTCAATGTCACAGACTTTGTAATCTGTCAAAGAAGTAATCTGTCTTTGTAATAATGTCAAAAATTATTAACTTCACGATTTGCATAGAGAGATTTAATTGAATTATAAAAAGAGCTTCATGTACTTTTGCCCGAAAATAATGTAAATATCTGAAATCTAAATCCTGAAAGAATTACTACCTGATTTTAAATTATTAAACACTGTGGCTGCAATGACGTCATTCACAAAAGACCTTGATTCAAGTCGCTATTAACCACAGATCATAGAGTACTGCAAGGTGCAGATATGTGCTCATAACCTCAAAAAGTTAGACAATCCTTTGCATATAAAGATAAATAAATAATAATTTCATTCGACCGCCGACATTGGCTACGATTAGAAGTGCGAGCTAGTAACTAATACTAACCTCCTTCGATTTGTGACTGTATTTGGTGAGTGGGAT